CCTCACTTTTGCTGAGACTGGCTTGAACTTGGGATCCTCCTGCTTCAGCCTCCCAAGCCACTGGGATTACAGGCGTGCACTACCGCACCCAGCCCTGCTTGTAAACTTTCAAATCTAAGATTAATGTGATTTTAAACAATAGAACTCTTTGATATCAGTGATATCTTTAATTATAATTAAGATGGAATATATATATATATATATATTTATATATTTCCTTCTAATTTTGCCATATAGATTACTATTTTCAAGGTAGCTAACACCATGGAAGCCAAATTAGCTGACTGGATTTATATATATATATATATATATATATATATATATATATATATATACACACACACACACACACACACACACACACACACACACATATATATGTATGTATATATACACACATACATACATATATACACACATATATGCACGTTTTTCATTTTCTATATATGTACATGTATGCATATAAAATATATACACACGTGTATATGTATGTATATGTTTGACAATCACAGGAAATGATCTGACATTCCTTATTCTTTTGGTTTGTTATGTTTTATTGTCCATTTTCTATATTATTCACATTTTTTCTTCAGTTCTAATGTTTTTACACACACACACACACACACACACACCACACAATTTTTTTTTTTTTTTTTTCTGGTGCTAGGGATCAATCCTAGGGCCTGGAGCATGATAAGCAAACACTCTACCTGTTAGCACAAAAAGACTGGACAGGAAGCAAACTTCACAGATCAGCTCAGCTCTTTTATTCAGGAACAAAATTTCATGCAGGAATGAGGTAAGCAGGAACAGTGTGACAGGTCTCTGAGGGCCCCACTTTCCTGGTGGAAAATGAGCCACTGGCTAAAGGAGGAGTTTGGGCTTATATAGGTTATACTAAGGTGTTTCAGTGAGCATGTCAGTTTGGAATTTGGGTTTTTGGGTTGGGGGTTGTTGGTCAGCACCTGGAGAGGATTTATCTTGGAAAAGATCAATGTTTCCCAGATATTATCATTTTAGATTTGATGAAACACTTTCTCCCCACCTGTGGCCAGTATCTGAAAAGGATTTATCTTTAAAGAGATGAAAGCTATCAATGTATGACTTTCTTTTTCACGGTCTATCTTGGGGTTTTTCATTTTCTATAGCTAATACTACCATTAAGCTACATCCCCAGCCTAATGTTTACATCTTGAAAGCTGATAGATATTGGAGGAAAAACTAAGAGTTTAGGTTAGTTTTAAGTGTTTTTGTAATGATGAAACTGTTCATTTCCCTTTAAAAAATTTTTAAAAACTCAAAGATAGGTCTTTCAAATTTTGGTTTTCACTAGCAGAATAATATATTTTTCCTCAAAACAGTAATTGTTTCTGAATGGGAAAAATACAATTATTTCTCTTTTTTTACAGGAGAAGCAACAAAATCCAATTATAAAATCAAATTTAAATTCACAATGATATGTAGACTGTTTTGATTTGAAAACTGCATTTTTTTTGGTCGCTTTAGATACATCTCAAATTCTCATTGGCTATTGCTTTGCATATCATAATGGAGGTTAAGTCTTGTATCATGTCAGTAACACTGTAGTGTCACTGAGGCCACACTGGATTATGAATGTTACTCACCCAAATGTATCCTTCATGTCAACATCTGGTAATTGCTGAGATGACTGCATCAGACAAGCTGTGCCACAAGGAACTGTTGCCTCACTGGTGACTAGCATGGGGGAAGGGTGGAAAGACATGTCTTTTTGGTGCTGCAGAAGATGGACACCACTTTCCTATTCAGAAGTCTGACACCATAAAAAAAATGGAGAGAATAGTAGTTCTTAAGATCCCTTGATTTTCGGACAGCTAATTAGAAGACCATGTATAAAGACTGGTAACTGAAGTATGGTCAGGGAGGGAGGCCTGAAAAATCTGCTTTGGAATGCTGACATCTAGGTAAGAGAGAAATGTGAAGTCATCCATGGACATGGGACTTAGGGGAGTGTCCCTCAGCTCAGGGAGGGTGGCAATATCCTTGTTAGCTAAGAAGGTGTGAGTGTTTTGAAGAAATAATGTGGTTTGTTTCATCATTATAGGAGCATTAGGAATTGCCAGTAGTAACTTGGGAATGGGATCAATGTGACAGAGAACAAGGTGAGGTGTAAGAAAATAAGATTCTTTTAAAGCTGTTTCAGCACCGGGGACTTTTTCCTTTATAGACTAAAACAGACTCATAAAGAGGAAGGAATGTAGGAAAGCTTTTAGATTTTTTTTTCTTTCTTTCTTGGGGTGCTGGGAATTGAACCCTGGGCCTTGCACATAAGAGGCAAGCACTCTACCAACTTAGGTATATCCCCAGCCCAAACTTTGAGATCTTGAAGAATCTGTTTTGTGTGTGTTTTTTTTTTTTTTTCCCTATAGCTCTTTCACTTTTAGTAGACCCTTCTTAAGCCTGAAAATCTTGTTCTTCTTTGATCTATGTGAGTTGGAATAATGGGTCAAATTTATAATCCTCAAATGCCTGCATTTTGTTTCTGATGGGTTGTGGAAGTGTGAAATTGTTTTCCTTGATTTAATCTTGAAGCTTTGTCTTTACCTGGAACAGGGAAATCATTATTGCTATGTCTTTCACAAATTATGTAAACTTAAAAAAAGATAACTTAATTTCCAATGTAAACTATTCTTTAAAGAGAATTAGTTCCCTTAAATTTAGTTCCTTTAATTTTATTTCTATTAATTTTACCTCTTCAAGCTTAAGCAAGTGGGCCTTAGATGGCATTAAGGCCATCTTAGTCATGCTTTGTGATTTTAGTAACTAGTTAATTACTTAAAATTTACATTCTAGGCTGAAGAGTTCTCTATTTTTTTTTCTTTCCTTATATATCAGACTCCAGCTTATTGGATGTGAGTCCCATAAAACTATTTCCAGCATCCTTTATTTTCCCTTATTGTGGTCCAATAGGAAGGACAATAAGCTGTGGGCATTGGCTTGCTCTAAAGCTCATGGATTTCCTTCAACCAATATCATGAGTTTTTAATAGTTAGACATTTATTTATCCTAAAGAGAGTGAAAATTCCTCCTACGACTGAATGTGAAGGAACTGTTTTTCATCTGCAAATCAACTCTTGTACTTCATTTTCTTACAGAATAGGTACCTATACCACTTCCTGATTTCAAAGAAGTTGAGCAGAATTTAAAGCTCACTTGTGGGAGGCAGAGGCAGGAGAATATAAGTTCAAGGTCAGTCTCAAAAACTTAGCAAGGCCCTAAGCAACTTAGTGAGACTCTGTTTCAAAAATTAAAAAGGACTGGGAAACAGCTTATATAGCTTATCTGGGTTCAATCCCCAGTATAAAACAAAAACTCACTTGTAGAAAATCACTTGTCATGAGTATGCTGTCATTAATGTAGAGGAAACACGTTTGTGTTTTTCTACTGTCTTTCTACCATTCATCGAATAACAATAAATTCACAGGTTACACCATTTTAATTAGTGGCAGTTCACTGAGTACTTGTGGGTCACCTTATTGTCATAAGCTGGAAAATCACAGATTCTTTTATTCCAATCTTAATTTCTAATATCTATAACACTCAAATCATACATACTTCACAATGATATATAAACAGGACACAGAAAGGGTTAAAGCAGCTGCAGGTTTAAAGGATGCTGTGCCAAGAGCACAGGAAGAGAGATATGAATGCAGAGTCAAAGGGTCACTGTAGGTGGTCAGATGAGGATATTAATGAACTAACCAGAGCAGAGTTGTGATAGCAGAGGGGCCAGAAGGACAGCAGTTTCAGTTTCAGAATGTCAGCTTGGAGAGGGCCAAGCATGGTCATCATAGGCAGGAGAACCCACACTTTGCTAAATAAAGCATAATGGACCTTCATCGCTGTGGCGATTTACCTGGGCAAGACCCTTGATGAGAAACCAGGTGATGGGGGTCAAGGTGCTGCGATATCCAGTCTTGGGGGTGGGGTGAGGCATGCTCTCTTTTACTGGGTCTTGAGTGTGGAGTTCTCACCTGGAGAGGTTGAAAAGCTCCTGTGTCTGGGTGCTCCACATATGATGTGGGATGTCTGCATGTCCAGATACTCCTTAATTTAGTTTGGTAAGTTGGTACATTTATTTATGAATTTGTGCCTTATGATGGTGCCCGGCAGAGGATAGTTGTTTACTTGTACAAATAAGGTGTGGAGTCATTCTACCTTGACACCTGTACTCAAACTGGAGTAACTTATGGCAAACTAGTGCTTTACAAAATGGAGTATCTCAAGGTTAGGCACATCCTAAAAACTGATGTTCTATACATCAAAGAGTAATTCAGAGCAGGACACGGCCTGCTCTCCACATCAAATGGCCACAGACCATACTGCTTGAGCAGTTTCTGATTGACCATTACATAAAAAAACATTAAAAAAAAAATCATTCTATGAATTTTAAGTACTAGTGGGTTCATAAATATATACTTAACAAGTACTAGGGCAAAAATCATTATATGTTAATAAAGTAATGAAAGGTAAACGCTACTGTTTGGGGCAAGAGTTGACTAACGCTTTCGGAATTCGGAAACCTTCACAAGCCGACGCCTAGGCTTACACTGCCCACTGGCACAACACACGCTCCAGCCTAAACCCCTAAATTGTGGCTTCTGCCCAAGAGGTGTATCCCGTAACCACAGTGACCGGGAAAAGCGTTTGAGAGCCGGGGTGGCCTCTTGCTCCTTACTCTCAACTGCTTCCCTTTTCCGTGACAGGAAAAAATGAAGAGTTGTGTATACGCTGGCGGAGCGCTCTTCCTCGGTCCCTTGACGCCCAACACTGTTTACGTTGAGTTCCTGACTGAACCACAACTCCCAAGATGCACTGAGGTTTTAGAGCAGTCAGAGGGGCAGCTTCCGGTTTGGCCCAGCGCGGCTGCGCACGGAATATAGCCTTATTGGCTCGAACTTCCTCGTGCGATTCGCGTCACGGCGACGTGCGGCCGTGGGGGCGGAGAGACGCGGCTGCGGCGGTCGCGGCGGCGCAAGCACGATCTCAGACGCGGTATCGCGGCGGCGGCAGTGGCGGTGGCTACACCGGGTCGGGCCCCCTCCCTCCTCTGTTCCCCCCTCCTTCCCCTTCCCCTCAGCGGTGGTTTGCGAGGAGTCCAAGACGTGCGGCGTGGCGGCGACGACCTCCGGTGAGGCTCTCTGGAGTGCGAGTGCCGTTTCCCCGGCGCAGAGGGGGAGCTCCGTGTCTGGGAGGAGGTGAGGGCTGAGGGGGCAAGTGTGCCCGGAGCGGGCTGGAGGGTGCGCGCTGCTTCCCAGCCTTCAACTTGGACCCCGTAGTTGTGACCTCTGCCCTACACAGCGTGCGATAGCTGGAGGGGCGACCGTGAGGGGCCTGGGTCTGCTCTCCTTGCAACTACTGTCACAGTTGCCCGGCGCCCACCTCCGGCTCGCCCCTCTGGGCAAAGGGTCATAAATCCCTTGCCCCCCTGAGCTGTCGTCGCCTTTGGATGCAGTTGCTCTTCTATACTGCCCGCTGAGAGAATCTGCTTGCTCTTCCTTCTTTTATCACTTCTAGGAATTTCTTTGGTGGCGGGCTTTGCATGGGTTCTGCTCCGCATTACTTTTACCCCGACTGGAATAGGAAGATTTTCCTTACCTTTTCTTAGATGGCGCTTCAGATCGCCTGCTTGGGATAGTACCTCGGATCCTGTTCTCTCAAACTCCCTTTGGTTTATCTGTCAATGAAATTGAAATTGCTGATAACAGGATTACTAGTTAGTTTTTAGAGTCCTATTGAAAAAGTTTGAGTTGGAAACGGATATATATATTTTTTCTTTCGGCTTTTAACCTTGATTTAAACTTTGAACTCCGGAGCTTGACAACTTCATGAGATAGTCCAACGGCGAATTTTGGTAAAAACATTACATGACCAACTGGGATTTTGTAGGGTACAGTGCTTCTTTGCAGGTTGTTGGGTCTGTCTTTTTTTAGTAGAATGATCTCTTGGTCTTTAAGTTTTTGGATTTTGGCTTTCTCAGCCTATTATCCCCACTATAATCTTCCAAAAACGGACCTCCCCCCCCCCTTCCTGAAGAAACCATTGAAGACGCCAAGAAATCTCTCATAACATTTAAAATTATTTGATCAGAAAAATTTCCCTAGTGAAATGTTAAAATAAATAACTTCAACGTAAAAACTTTATTTGAAAATACAGGGATTGAACTCAGGACTCTTGCACATGATAAGAAAGTGTGCTCTACTTACCCGAGCAGCACCTCTAGCTATATTTTTTATTTAAAAAAATTTTTTTTTTGTAGTTGTAGATGGACAGAATGCTTTTATATATTTTTATGTGGTGCTAAGGATCGAACTTGTGCCTCACACATGCTAGCCAAGGGTTCTGCCACTGAGCTACAGCCTCAGCCCTCTATTTTTTATTTTGAGACCAAGAGTTTTACAAAGTTTCTCTGGTTGGCCTGGGACTTGTGATCCTCCAGCCTCAGACTCCCAAATAGCTAGGATCCTCGGCAGGGGTCACTGCCCCTGCTCCAAGCTTCATTTTTTTTTTGAGGGGAGATTTTAAACCTTGTCATTTCTGAAGTTCTAAATGTCCTTTTGTATCTAAGGACACCTTAATTTGTCCTTTCACCACTCTTTGACTCTCACACTCAGAAGATAATTCCTGGATGTTTTCATTCTTTTTTACAAATTTGTCAGAGTGATGTTCTGTAAAGTCAAATTATTTTATCAGGAATTGAGACTTTCATAGTGGTGGCAACTGGTGGTGAATTAAGAAATTTGAAAAAAATTTCAAAGTAAATATGAAAGGTGTCTTTATTTTAGTTTCTACTTGTTACTGCTTAACCACAAGTATATAGTTCTATCTAGACTTTTGGCTACTTAGTAGCAGATTTCATTTTCTTCCTGGGTACTAGGAATGAGAGTAGGATTTCCAGAACTTAAAGAGATTTTCAGGCCCTAGGCTCATTGTATGAATTAATACATTAATTCCATTAATAGTATTGAACCCAGGGGCACTCTACCATTGAGTGACATCCCCAGCCCTTTTTATTTTTTTATTTTAAGACAAGTCTTGCTCAGTTGCCAAGAGTGGTCTCTGTGATCCTCATACTTCAGTCTCCCAAGTTGCTGGGAATATTTTATTTATTTCAGAGGAAGGTCAGTTTTATATCTTGCAAGCTAATTCCTTTGTGCTGTCTTTTGTTGTAAATAAGTTTTTGTTTTTTTTTTCCCCAAAGAACTAACCCATATCTAGTAGTTTTAGATATTTTTGTGGTTGTGGTAGTAATCAATATGGCCTATAAGACCCAAAATTCTTACTATCTAGCCTTTAGTAGAAAAAATTTGTCAAACTGTGAAAATGATGCTTATTCAGCACAGAAAATTAAAATAAGCCAGGAGTATAAAGGAGGAAGTAAAAATTATTCAGAGGATTTTTGGTGAGTGTGATTATCTTTACAGAGTCTCTTGTGATTTTTATGTAAATGGGCTCATATTGTTAAATGTTGGTTTGTAATATGCTTTCTTAAAAAAGATAACTTAAGATTATTTATATTTGGCTTTTGATTGCTTTTATATTTTCAGCACTGAAGATTTTGCTAGAAAGGATCTTCATGAATCAAATTTTCCTCATCTGTTTTACCAATCAGGATATAAAAAGACTACTCAGGGATAATAACGCTTGCTCCTGATGATAATGATTAACATTTGTTGAACACTTATTACGTACCAGTTTTCTACCATTTTGCATGTACTGTCATTTAATTTCCCCAAAAGCTTGTGAGGACATACTATTATTCCTATTATACAGGCTAGGAAACTGAGGCAATGAAGAATTTGAGTAAGTGTCAAAGTTTATTAGCTAGGTAAATCATGGAGCTGAAATTTGAGTCCATGTAGTCTGATTCAGAATCCAAGCTGCTAAATATGCTGCAGTGCTTCTCTTTATATTAATGTTCAATGTAGAAAGTTGAGACAGTGCTGAGGGATATGTTCTTTTCAGTATCATTCTTTGTAGGTGACCACTGGAAGCATATGTAGATTTTTCTAGCTTTTTGTCTGCTATATAGTAGTTAACTTGCAAATCTGTCTCCATATGGGGAATTTAAAGGAATTTACATATTTTATTTTTTAGATTTACAGGAATTTGAGCTGATAGTATGGAAATTCCTATATTCCCCATCCTATTTCCCGTATTCTTTACATTTTACATTACTGCGGCATATATATAGCTCAGTTGAATACCAATACCAATCTATTGTTATTAATTAGTCCACAGTTAATATCATGACTCACTTTGTGTTGCAGAATTTTTTTTTTTTAATGGGATTAAACTGGTCATTGCTCAGCAGTGTGAGCTTTTTTTCTTCAAAATATAGTGTTTCCAGACTATTATTATTATCATTATTTTAAGGTACAGAGGATTGAACCCAGAACCTTGCATATGCCAGTCAAGCTCTCTACCACTGAGCTACATCACCAGCCCTTTATTTTATTTGAGACAGAGTCTTGCTAAGTTATGAAGGCTGCCTTCTTCCTCAGTTTCTATGTAACTGGGATTGTAGATGTGTGCCATTGTACGTGGCTACTCCTGGGGGATGGATGGAGATATATATATATATATATATATTTATTTCTTTTGGTACTGAGGTTTGAACCCAGAAGGTCTTCACCACTGAACTACATCCTCAGCCCTTTTTATTTTGAGACATGATCTCCCTGAGTTGCTCAGTTGCTGAGGCTGGCTTTGAATTTGTGATCCTCCTGCTTCAGCTTCCCAAGTTGCTGGGATTATAGGCCACCATGCCCAGCTTCCTCCTGGATTTTATTTCTTTTGTTTTTTTTTTTTTGGTGTGTGTGGGGGTACTGGGAACTGAAGTCAGGGACACTACACCATTGAGCCACATCCCCAGCCCTATTTTGTATTATATTTAGAGACAGGGTCTCATTGAGTTGCTTAGTGCCTCGCTGTTGCTGAGGCTGGCTCTGAAAAATGTCATAGTGCCAGCTGTTTTTCTTCAAAGGAATGTGCTTTTTTTGTACTGGGAATTAAACCCAGGGGCTCTTAACCACTGAGTCATATCCCCAGCCCTTTTAATTTTTTAATGTTTAAGATTTTTCAGGGGGGGGCAGTATTGGGGACTGAACTCAGGGGAACTCGCCCGCTGAGCCACATCCCCAGCCTTATTTTGTATTTTATTTGTTGCTTAGTGCCTCACTTTTGCTGAGGCTGGCTTTGAACTAGCAATCCCCTCCTGCCTCAGCCTCCTGAGCCACTGAGATTATAGGTGTGGGTTACTGTGCCTGGCATGTTTAAAAATTAAAAAAAAAATTTTTTTTTAATTGTAGTTGGACAGAATACCTTAATTTATGTATGTATGTAAGCATGTATGTGTGGTGCTGAGGATTGAACCCAGGGCCTCACACGTGCTAGGCGAGCACTCTGCTGCTGAGCCACAACCTCAGCCCATGTTTTAAAATTTTGAGACAGGGTCTCACTAGGTTGCTGGGGAGGGCCTTGAACTTGCAATCCCCCTGCCTTAGCCTTGCAAGTCACTTGGGATTAAAAGTGTGTGCCACCATGCCCAGCGGGATACTTATCTTTTGACCAAACATCTTGGCGATTCTATATCATCATTAAGGAACCTGTTTTTTTTTGGGGGGTGGGGAGGAGGAAAGGGGGCTATTTTCTGAATTTGGAAAATGGATTCATTTGGTATTCTTACTCAAATTCTTTTTGATTCATCATTCCAGCCATTTTATTTGCTAGTCTTTATCATACCTTTATTTTGTTTTTATTTTTTTTAATGTGGTGCCAGGGATTAAACCCAATGTGTCATGCATGCTAGGCAAGTGCTCTACCACTGAGTCACAACCCCGGTCTTACCTAGTCTTTAATTTTTTGTCAGACTTTGGCTTTAAAGAAATCATTTTTTTGAGACAGGGTCTTAATATGTTGCTCAGACTGGCTTCAAACTTCTGGGATCAATTAACCCTTCTGCCTCAGCTTCCCAAGTAGCTTGAATTACAGGTGTGTGCCCCAGATTTTGGCTTTATTATGATGACCGTAGGTTCCAAAAAGTAATTTGGTCTTCATCATTATCTTTTCAATATATTTCCATTTTTGGACTTTGCCTGGGGTCAGCAGTGAATTTTTTCCTTAGTTGGGCCATGTAGATTTTCTGAAAGTCATCCTGCAGCTTTGATGCTCTGCTTATGGACATGCTGTTCAACTT